CCCCCCCCCCCCCCCCCACCCCCCCCCCCCCCCCCCCCGCAGCAAGTCCAAAATCAAGAGGCCGAGTTAGCAAACTCGGCAAGTGGATTTTGAGGCCTCTTATGATGATCGTACATGACGAAAGTGCTGTAAATACCGAGTAAAACGGATGTGCTCTTAAGATGGGATGGAGCAAGTGTAGTTTGTAAGGGGGGGGGGCGCCTACTACTACTGCTGCTACTACTACTACTACTACTACTACTACTACTATTACTACTACTATTACTGCCATCTAGTACAGGTACTGCTGCCACTACTGCTATTGCTACAGGTGCTGTTCATGATCCATTCCGTATCCACACCTGCTCAGGATTTGCACTTGTTTCGCCAAATCCAGGAGTTGCATGCAGCATAATAACAGTAGCTAGTGCAGCTAGCAGTTCCAAGAGTTACCAAGAGCATGTCGAGTCTGGCTCAGCGACTGTATCTAATCACGGAGCCATCGTGACGCTCCTTGCAGTAAGACGGTCTTCGATAGATTCTCTTCGGTCGCCAAGCTAATGATCCCTGACCCCAGACGGTGTCTCGAGTTCGAGCGGACTCCAGCAATTTGCCCAGATTGGCCAATGCCACCTACACTGGCAGCTGGTCCAGCCGCTGCTCCCGCACCAGCACCAGCTGCAGGCAACTCGACAGGTCAGGTTGGCAGAAGTGCTTGAACCGTGCCTGCCAATCTGATCAGGCTTCCTGCAGAGAGCGACAACGGAGGCCAAGCAGACTTCGTTGATATCGTAGTAGTAGGAAGACGGTATTTCTTCGATTCCAGCCTGAAGCTCAAGCACGCGAGGCAGTGAAGCGTCGAGTCCTTACGGCCATGCAGGTTGAGATCGTAGCGGCTGTAAGGACGTCAGCTCGCGCATCTCTGAGGTTCCAGCAGCTGCCCCTGCGCATAGAAGCTGGTAGCAGTGACTTAGTCAGCTGAGACAGCTGAAAAGAAGTCCGGCTGAACATCTTGGTAGATATCCGCATGCGCATGTTCTTCACTCTTGTTATACTCTGGTTTTGTTTGGCATGCAACTGTGCAGTTGCCTGTCCAAGGTGTCACGTGTGGTGGAGTGACCCCACCGGCGACATGCGATTCAGGCGCTGGTGTTCCTACAGTGTGTCTATTTGCATGACCATTTCAGACCTTGACCTGCTGGAGACATGACGCTGCAAGTATGCCTCTGTTACCGGGACAGCCATTAAGCCTGGTGTGAACACTCGCAAGCGCAAAGATGCTTGCAGCAAGCTCGGATCATTACAAAGTCAATTCATCGGTCCAGCCCTTGTGGACATCGCGCGGCGCCAAGCTGCAGCTTTCGCGAATCCCAATAACATGGCATTCGATGCACTCGCACAGCAAGCCAGACTGCTTCCTTAACGCTGCCGCCGGCTCACAGCTTTGGTCGGTCGCAATGGTTTGCACAGTTGGACAGGCCTTGTGGCCTTGAGACGGCTCTGTTCGGTGGTGTCTTGTTAGATAAAGCTTGATACAACGCCTGAGAGGCGTCCATGATACTCTGGATCTCTTTGCTGCTTTGGCCGCGAGCAGCGGGTGAACCCTGGACAGAGGACAGCATGTAAAATCCACACTGCTAGGCGACAAGCGAACCTCAGCTCAAGATGTTCTGGCGAAGGGACGCTGTGCAGGAGAATGCGGCGTGGAACATCAACTTCCAAGCAAGCCATGAGCCGATGAACTACTGGGGGCAATGGCCATCCCACAATTATTTCCCTTCGCCCCCGGACTGGCGCAGTCTCGTCATTTACCAGCGACTTAGCTTTGCCTACTGTTCTGGTGCAGACCTGTCCTGGACAACGGAACGCTTGAGAGCTGAAGGTTGATTACGGATCGTTTCGCAGACGGCGACCCACACAACAACGAGCTTTTTGCCGGAGGTTTCGATGTCCGGGAAACATGGCATGCACGTGTTTTGATCCCACACAAACACACAAACTGCTGCGCATTTTTGCCTGCTTTACTTTGTCGAGGATATGACATTTCGACATGGCGGCGATTTCGCCGGGTTAACGAAGAAGTTGAACTATATCAAGGGCCTCGGGTGCAATGCTGTATGGATTTCACCCATATTTCAGACTCCCGGCAGCATAGGCCAATCGTGGTGTTGGAAGTGTGCTGGTAGCGAGTCTTTGCTGTCGTTGTGCGACCTCGACTCGACGATCTAGACGGGTTCTTCCTTCTAGAGCGATCTTCGTGGCGGACGTAGCTAGACTCGCTAGGCATGAAGCTAGGCGCTTAGGTGGAGCAGGGGACGAGAACGATATGACGAAGGATAGGGTTTCAGATTCTTCTTGTGGATTTCAGGGTGTGGCTCGTAGGGGGGGTATGTCACGATGTACCTGCGTAGACTCCTGCAGGACGAGGCAGGCTCGGTAGGCAGATGTAATAGTATGAGTGGGGGGCGGGGGATGAGCGGCGGGAGACGAGGGTGGGTGTGACGACTTGACCTTGAAAGACACTGCAGGATGAGATGCTGCAAATAGTAGATGTAAATCTTGCGAGGCCCGCAAGCGCTTGCCACATTGAGGCAGTACAGCCGGACATGATCAGAGTGCTCTGTTTCTCATGTTTCTCATGCTGTTCCCCACATGCCTCGGGTAGTGCGAATGATCCTTTCAAAGTGTCGATGTGGACCTGCAGGAACGGCTACAACTTCTACCACCAGTATGCACAGATAGACTTCACGGTCCTAGACAGACGTATGGGAACTCTTGAAGACCTCCGCAACCTTGTTAACGAAGCCCATGCTCTCGACATGTATGTCATTATTGACGTTGCTCCTTGGAAGAAAGAAGCATCGTATGTCTGCATACGTGGGTGTCGGGATGCGGGCATTCAATTTCCCTGCTCGTCCTGTATCTAAGGTAATGAACCACATGGTGGCTTGTCCCAGCGAATTTTGACTTGTCGTGGTCAGTGCATGCTGCCTTTATTGCAGAGAGTCAGAGTGCGCAAGAAGCGGTTGCCATCCTGTCGAGTTATCCCGAATGTTTGTCCCACATGGGCAGGGCCAGCATCAAAGCATGGCAGTCTTGACCTCGTAGTTCTAGAGCCTGCCATGCGTCGATGCTGTTAGGCGAACGACTACTATTTCGAGGGCCACGCGACGAGCCAGGCCACGTGGCGATTCCATGAGGATGGGGGCAAGCGCGAGTACAAACTGAAACCGCGAGCTACCCAGGCACAGACGGCATGCACCAAGTTCCATCAGGATTCCATGTCTCTATAGCTGATTAGTGCAAATTTGAGTGTTGAGCCAGCAGGCCTCTTACTTTCACGGTATGGTGTGGTGCGACGGCGATGCGCTCTGGCAATCCTTCGGAGACGAGCCTACAGGCATCCTCCTCAACATGGACGCTTGCGAGGAAAGATGTCAATCAGACCCCGATTGCTTCTATTTCCTGTACAAAAACGACCCGGGCTCCTTGAGCACATATCATTGTGCAGGCTTCAACTCTTGCAGCTCTCCAACCCCCTACACTGATGGTCAGGCACATGTCTACAAGAAGTGGGTTTGGCCCGTAAAGGCCGTTCAAGAAGCAGCAGATGTTTGGTGTGGAAGTCACTTGTGGCAAGAATATGGGCAGGAAGCAACCGGTCTGCTTGTAAACCAGGACACTTGCGAAGCCGCTTGTGCTTCCGATGCATCTTGTCAGTTCTACCTTTGGAAGGACGACCCTGCCGCAAACACACGCTTCCATTGTGCTGGCTTCGCAACATGTTCAGAAGCTGATCAAGTTCCGTTCGGGGATGGTGATGCTTCCAAGATTTTTCAGAAAAGGACCAAGGCTGAGAGAGACAAGGATGGCTTGTATCACACACCTGCTGGACGTCAACCGTATGCTGACTTCTGGTACAGCAATGCGTGGGATCCGGCTGCGCAGTACAACGGGACCCTCTACGGTCAATGGGGCGAGAGTGCAACGGACACGGGCTTTGGCACATACATTGAATCAGATTTTCATCACAACGGAGATCTGATCGACTACCACGATCCTTGGGAGATTAACCTTGGCAAAATCTACGGTGTTATGGATGACTTGCGCCTGGAGCAGGACCGTGTCCAGCAGAAGTACATAGCAATGACCAAGGCCTTGATCGATACCGCTGATGTGGATGGGTACCGTGTGGACACCCCAATGCAGGTGCCCTTGAACTTTTACAAGGCTTGGGCACCAGCAATGAGAGCTCATGCAAAGACGCTTGGCAAAGATCGCTTTGGGATCTTTGGGGAGTTCTTCGTTAGCGCAGAGCGCTACGCTACCATGACCGGTCGAGGTCGCGACAATTCGATGTACGGCCAGGATCGGTTTATTGACGACATAGCGACGCTGAAAGGCGGTATTGTCTACCCGTACTACTGGTATGTATTTACTGCGATGGTGTACCAGCGCCCAGAGTATGCAGATGGTCTTCCGTTGGCATATGTCGAAGAGAACAAGATGATTGACACATATGATCCGACAACCAATCGTCACGAGTACTCGATGTGGACGTTCTGTAACAATCACGACAACTGGCGGTTGCAGAGTATGACTGGCAAGCCACACTTCGTGATGTGTCTTGCAGTCATTACCTTCTGGCCTGGTGTTCCTCTTCACTACGCAGGCGACGAGCAAGACTTTGACACTCCTGGCAGCGCTCTCGACGGATGGGCCCGAGAAGAGCTGAGTACATCCTTGGCTTGGCGAGCAGTCCGCACGCAGGAATCTGGTAACCCAGCAGATGGAGACAATTTTGACATGACCCATCCAACCTACTTGTACATCGGCCGGCTCAGTGCCCTGAGACGAGCCTACTTCGGCGATTTCGGAGCTGAAGAGTGCGACGAAGTCCAGCACCCTTCATATGCGACGCCGGATGTCCTTGTCTTTCTGCGTGGCTGCAATGCTTCCAGCAAGGTCTTGGTATTCGCAAACTTCCACACCACAGAGAACAGATCTGCATCCATTGATGCGCTTCCGTGGGCCTCCGGCACTCGATTGACGGATTGCATTGTTAACCATGACCCGGCAGAGGTCACTGTTTCCTCGGGGAGCGTCTCCGTCTCACTAGGTCCATTGCAAGCTCTGGCTTTCGTTGAGAACGTGGCGGCAGTTCCTCCTTCGATTACCGAAGTCTCGCCACGACATGGTTCCACAATTGACACTCAGGAGAGCAACCTAACAATCACGCTGCGCTTTGATCGCACCGTTGACTCCTCCATGGTCTCCAACGTACTCCTCGACGAGACTTCGGGAGGATTTACATGCACAGGGTTTACATGCACGCGAGAAATAGCCATGACATCGCTGGCGGATGGTCATCACACTCTGGAGGTTCGTGCGGGTTCAGCAACTACAGACGGAATGCAGCTCCATGCCGCCTTCGAGTCTTTCTTCTTGTTGGACCGACAGCACGGGGCAATATCCAAGCCAATCCACGAGCAGCCTGGCCTCATCTGCAGCTTTGGGAGGGAGCTCTGTCACAATGCTGTTGGGGCCACCCTGTTTCGGGCCCAGAACGTGGGTGGGAATTGGTCGGAATGGAGGCCATATGCTTCGACCACCGCCTGGGAAGCACAGCTGGACGTGCCAGTCCTGGTCCAATACTTTTCTCAGCTCAGTGCAGGTTTCATTGTGGGTGACTGCCTGGCCTCCACAGGCAGACGCTGCCACGTGAGCTGGCATGACCGAATGTTCCTGCGCGGTGAATTGAATGACTGGGGCGGTTCGGACCAAGGGCATATGATGCTGATAAGTTCGTACACCTGGGCATCCAACATCACACTAAGCAAGTTTATCCGCGCCCGCTTTACTCCCACGAATGATTGGTCCAAGTCCTACGGAGCACACCCTGTTCGGGAGCTCTTATACAATGTTCCGACCTTCGATGAACGTCACAGGACCTTCGACATCGTGCCCACGAAGTCCGGTTCGGAGCCATGCCGAGAATGGATGGTGAATCGCAGCTTGTGGTCGGAACATGAGACCATAGCATCCGGTGCGGAATTTGCCATTAATTTGTGGCTGAGTCCCTTCTGTACGGCAGCCGCGCCGCAATGCGAGCCAGATCCCGACGCGCAGTGGCAATGTCACTCGTATAAGACTGGCCAGGATGCTGCGTGGTGTGCTTCAGTCGGGTCGGAAGGCTGCTTCGAGTACAGCACGAATGACCAGAGTGAAGAGATGAGCTCGTGTGGCCCCTGCTTCTGCTGCAAACGGCAAGTCTCAGTTGCCGAGTCAGCGCCAGAAGCTTCGCCGCAAACATAATTCAATGGAGTTACTTACTGCAACTGCCATCGGGGCAAAGTTTCCAGTTTCCCAAGCATGTTCTTCAATTTTCTGGCCATGCCCTCTCAACCTCACATGGCGGAGGGAGTCGCGCTCTGAACGAACCAGTTTTAGTCTTGCTCGCTGCTCTCAACGTGTGCTTCATCGAACGGGTGCAACTAGAAACAATCCTTGATGCCGTTGTAGTCAAGCTGAAGCATGGGGAAGTCGCGCTAATGATGAAGAACTCGCGCAAACACAAAAAGAAACCAACTTACTTGACCTGCAGTTCTTCTGTCTTGTTGTGATCTAATCACGAGGCTCCGGCGGATGGTCGGTTTAGAAGCACATGCTTTTGCAGCATGCTTGCAGCCCTCTTCCACAAAAGAGAACCCCTGGCATACTGAGGAAGCTACTTGCTGCATCAAGTTCAATGACTTGTACTTGAACTACACGATTACCCCAGATCTTTCTCAATGCGCACCGGGTGAACCTGTTGACCAGCCGGTGCTGGAAGCTTCCTTCATCGTTGCAATGCAAATTGAAAACATGTCTGACTTTGAACCTAAATCGAACGAGATTCATGGGAGCCTCATTGCTGGAGCATACAGCAGTGCAACTCCGAATGTCAGCATTGCAGCTTGATTCAACTATCATGCTCGACTGTGTCGGTTGACATGCAGCTGTCGATGTTCACCTGCCGGAGTTGTGCCAGTGCAGCTAAAGAGCAGGCGGATGTCGCCTACATGGTCAGTGCAGAGTTCGAGCTCCTGAACTGGACAGGTGCATGGCAGGCACGAAGTGGTAGTAGCACTCATTGATTTCTGAATACATTGTTGACGCTCTTGCGCTCCAGTGCACTGCAGGCGGCTGCCACGGAGATCTGTGGCATCCTGACTATGCGAAATTCAACTTGCTCAACTTCAGGCCTTGGTGCAGTGATCAACATGCCGTTCAAACGGAAGCGGGTGCACACAGACGGCCTGTGCAGGTGCCGAAGTCATCCGGGCAGAGGCTCAATGCATGTTGTCGCCGACAGATGACAGATCGAGCGAAAGTTGTCAATCACGTTGTTTGCCACCAATTGTAGCTTTGCCGCACAGGTTCGCACAGCTGAAGCAGATGATGCCGGCGCATTGCATGATCTGGCGAAAGACGCCGAGCACATGCAACACCTGCTCAGAAGCGGCTCTGATGTTGCAGGCAGCTTGGCAGGAGTGGAGGTTTCTGGTGATCCACACGTCGCATGTGTCTGTTAAGTGTTGCAGGTTGTGCCAGCTTTGCCTGAACTGTGGGGCTGGGAAAGGGTCCCCAGGCCCCTGTAGAATCAGCCTGTGAGAGCTGATTCCAAGACGCGGCGAGTTGGCTTAGCAGCAGCCTAATAATTCCATGTAGTTCCTCGTTGCCTCGCTGAGGAAATGCTTCCCTGCGCTTGATCATGCCCCCTGTGCTGGAAATGCGGCTCTTGACAGATGTGGTCGCCTTTGCTTCGGACTGGCAGGCTCCTGATCTCGCTCCAAATGTCTCAGATCTGACACGTGAGTTCTCCAGTGGATACTCTCGTGTCGTGGTGCTGTCTGTGTTGCCTTCGCCATTGGCGAGCACAACTACAACTACATTCGCACCACCAAGCAGCGCAGCGCCCAATGTCTCTACGACTAGCAGCACGGTCATAAGCTCGAGTTCGGCGGTCACAAATGACTGTGTTGAATTGGCTGTGAAGAGTGCTGGCTCTCTGGACGGCAACCTTGTAGAGTTTTTCATCGATGGCGTGCAAGTAGAGATGACCCCGGGGCGAGGCTTGAGCGTTGTCGTCCTGGATGAACATGGCACAAGCGCATCGGAGGTGCATGTTTTCGACACGGGATTTCAAGCGAGTGGTTCGGCACCCCTGGCTTCATTGCTGAACAGCCTCTCGGAAGGCGTCGGCGTAATGATTGCTGCCATGGATGATGCTTCGGACAACTTGACACTGGCTGCGATCAACGCGATCAAGGAGCTTGGAGCAACACAGATAGACAGTCTTGGCTACAGAGGGTCGTATGCATTGATTGGCGTTAAGGGCCGATCGGCTGTGGCAGAGAGGTTGGCGGCATCAGGGGAAGGCCATGTGCAGGTCAGCAGTAGAAATTCTTGGAAGCCAGAGTGTGCCGACACCACTTCATCTGTGGCAAACGCTGATGATCCGATTGCATTGCGAGTTCGCAGTGCAGGGGCGGCTGATGGGAATTTCGTTGAGTTCTATGTCAATGGCGCTCTTGTTGATCTGGTTGCCGGACGCGGTCTGACGGTCGTATCTTTGCAAGATGGGCAACTGGAGATGCATGTCTTCGACACTGGCTTCGAAGGCTTGGGCTCGGAGCCATTGGTCAGATTCTTGCAAGGCTTACCGTTTGGAACGCTTGTCATGGTGGCTGCTATGGATGATGCGACCGACAACCTAACGGCAGAGGCGAAAGCAGCTATCGAGGGCCTGGGCGCCAGCGAGATCAGAAGTCTGTCATACCGAGGGTCATACGCACTGATTGGTGTGCAAGGCGGCGTCGCACTTGCAGAGCGTGTTGCTGCTTCCGGAAGTGGTTCCGTTGAGATTGCAAGCACTTGGATTCAAGGCTGCCTGGCTTGTAACTTCCTGCTATGCCTGCTGTGCAATGCGCCGCACATGTGATATTCAGAGTGGTGATGTAGGCTCTGCGAGTTCTACGACAGATTCTACGACTACGAGCTCCAGCCAGCAAGACCAGTCAGAGACAACGACGGAACCCGAGGGATCAGGCCTTCCAGCATGCAATACAGCGAGCAGCTTGTTGGATTGCACATGTCGGATGTCGACAGGCTTCAGCTCATCGACTGACTCCACCACGGCATCAGAAGTTGCTTCGACCACCCTCTCGCCCATACCGACTCAAAATCCAGATGCGGCGTGGCACTGGCAATAGACCAACCTCACATTGAGTGTAGCGGAATTAAATGATTCGGATGCCGTGGGGCAGAGCCATCAAGTTTCGGATGCTGAGGGCCCGTCTTCCACGGCAAGGAACTGGGAACCTTGGACAAAGGAGTGAGACAAGAAAGATGGAACACGTGTAGAATCAGCCTGAAGCCTCTTCAATCGGCCCAGAAACTCAAAAAGCCAAGTGCGTGCTGGCCGCCGTTCGCCAAGGAATTCAATGAACAAGTTGATGCCTCTGACAGAAGCGGACAATCCGCTGTGGCCTTCCTTCTGCTTTGCGACTTGGCTTTCGACCACTTTCGCCGAGCCACGGGCGGGGATGTTCAGTGGGTCGCCCGTGTCGAAGAAGGGTCGGGTGTGCAGTCGAAGGATGGGCTGATATAACCAGGCCAGCGTGTGTCTAAAATGGTAATTAGTAATTAGTGGTAGTTCTCTGAACGTTTGCAAAGGCCACCGGGAAGTTCTTTGCAACTGATCCTTCGATCCTCTCCCAGAAGCCACTCTCATGCTACGGAAAGTAAGGCATGCTTAATGCTTGATGGCACTGGGTGACCCATGCCTGGCACATTTTTGGTTCGGCGCCTTTCTGCGATACAGGCTCGCATCTCTTGAGAGTGGACGCGAGGGAACCTTGTCAATTTTGACCATCATTCTTCCAGTCACGTTGACGCAGATGTCTCTAGGTTTGCAGATGTGGTGCTGATGGAACATGCAGAAGATGATCTGCTTCTGGAATCCCAGAAGTGGCCCTTTCCCGTTGCCATGGCTTGTGCCTGGCAAGCTAGATTCAGCTAGAAGTTTTTCGCACTGATTCTGCGTCTCTTTGGCGCACAGGTGTACAGGCGGGCAGGTTGGTAGTCGTAAGGATGCCTTGAAACGAGCTACAAATGCTTTGCAGGGCACCAATCTGCGCGCGAGACCCGTTTGCTACCGATGGCCTGGAAAACTTTCAGGGGCGTCGTGAAGCTTCGTGTGCACTCACTTCCCAGAGTATTGCATGATGTTGCTCTTGGTGCCTTCACCTGGCTGCCTGCATTTGCACTTGGCTACTTGCATCCGTACCTGATGACTGCCACCTAGGTTGGCAGCTGATGGGATCGCCCCTCTGGTGGGCTTTCCTCTGCCTGAACTCGTCTAGCTTAATCAATGTGGCGTGCATTCCGCATGTTGCAGCTGCGTGTTCCCTGCAAGAGGGACAGCCAGAAACTTCACTCCCGTGTCGTTTATTACCAGCGCGATGTCGGTTTGTTTCAATGTTTCTCTGCTATGTCAGTGTCCAGCACATGACATGAGATTCGTTTGAACTGGAGATGCTGTCCCTGCTTTTCGACTCAGACTAAGAACTGGCTGCCATGTCGGAAAAGAGAGACTATCACAGAGCTGCAGCAGCTGCATGGAGTGTGCGCTTTCTGCAAAACTTGGGTTTGTTGCCCGACTGTGCAGTCGGAAGATGGCGTTCAACCCCGAGAAGTCCGAGCCTCTTGAGGTCACTTGTGGCAAGGGTCCGCGGGTCCCTGGCAGCCGAGGCTTGGTCTGTGACGAGCCGAAGCCCTTTTCTGCAAAGGCTGAGCCGCAGGTTCCTCATGTCGCGAGCTCAAGCCAAGTTTCCGAGTTTCAGCGATGCGTAGAAAACGCAGAAGAGGTGGTCCTACACATCGCAATGTTTCAGCTGTGCGAAATGTCACCAGCGACGTCTATGGCTTGTCCACGCTCCATCGAAACCGCAAAAAACACGGGACTGTCCGGTCGTTTGCATTCATTCCCGGCTAGACGGCGCCCAGGCAGTCGACATTTCGCGGTCATCGACTTCCATGCACGACGTACATACCTGCCGCAGGCGTGTGGTTCGAACCGAGGGGACATTCAGCAAAGAGGGCCCGACAAATTGCTTGACTAAACACGAAGTTGCACTCTGACGGACAATAGACCAGTAGACCGTCAAGATCTCGTATTCGGTGTTTGCCGCCCCCTGCGGTCAGAGGTGTACCGAGGTGGGCGGGCAGTCATGTAGTCGACGGTGCCGGCCCTTTAGAAGGCGAACTCCTCCCAACGACGATGCAGTGCTTGTGCTGTCACGACGGTCGGTGCAGAGAGTCTTATGGTTGTTGGCTGCCATTCATATGCCATGTGTTCCCGCATTGCAAAGCATCTCCAGGCTCAAATTGGCAGTTGTCACGCGAGCATGACAAGTCGCGAACGTTTTAGAAACACATCTCCATCAGGGCAGAGGATGCGTAGCTAGCTTGCGTCGTCCTGCGCATGCTTCATGGCAAGCTATGGCTTCTCTACCTCGTCGCTGGCGGGAGACGGGCTTCCTAGGAGCTTCATCTCCGGGCTGCCATCTCGAGGTGATGCATCTGGGAGGCAGTTGAGTTTCGCCTAAATGACGGTGGCTGTGCTGTGTCTGATTCAGGCAGTATACAGCATCTCAACTGTCGGTGCTTGCTTAGGCAGCATTCAAAGATGAGCCAGGAAAAGGAGAGATCTTCTGCCAGAAGCTGCGGGAAGCACTGGCTCCCTTTTCGGATCTCTGGCACTGATAAATCACACTTCTTTTTTTGGCCATGTTAGCCAGAGCCAGAGTTCGTGTAAAGTATTGGGGTACATAACCTGAGGTTGTGATACTTGCTGATAGGAGCATTCTTGCAGTGTAATCCACAAACACGCCTGAAGAGACACGAGAGCAACAACAACTGATTTGGTTGCAGAAACCTCCAAATCGGCGGTGGCCACACCAAGCCGGAGGACAGACGAGGAGCCAAGAAACGAAGCGAGAAGCCAGAGTACAAAGTCAGAAAAGATGGGCAGCTCCAATACAGGATGCCGCAGACAAATAGCGAGAAGAACTCAAGAAAAGGTCTCTGGCCGTCGTTCTAGTCCCGTCGGACAACAAGCGACCCCGCAAGCTTCGTTTCCGCGTTGTCGTGCACACCAAAGTCCATGCCCACCCACAGGGCGCAGGCATGGCAACGTATGCTGGAGCGTCGAGGACCGAGCCACACTCACGGCGCACACTCAGATTCACACCTCATATATGCATCAAGGCATCTCTGACTCTCATACATTTATTTTGACATTAGCCTCAATATATGAGACAAAGCGGAAACCTGCATTTAATATATGAGATAATCATAGAAGCACTCAAAAGATTCCCTTGTTTGACACCGCAGCCGTCGACTATAGTGTAGAATCAGCACGCTACCAGACGGAAGAAGAAGGACGCACGAGCTACTTCACTTGTTCCAGGCATAGGCTGCAACTGTCCACTCTCGGAGGAAGCATAAGAGAATATTTGTAAGAGATGCTTCCGAACATGGTCCTATATATATATATATATCTTCATCCATGAGGTTGGTGCCGCCAGCTTCATCCAGATCGATATAGCGAAGACATCCATGCCGGAGACTCGGTCGTCGCTTGACATGATGACAGTCGTGGGCGGTCGTCTTGAGCATCTCAGGCCGGCAAGCAGCGTGGAACCTTGGCTCAAAGTTGCCGGACACGTACGCTCCGAGCGAGCGAGAGAGAGAGAGAGAGAGAGACAAACACCCTGCACCCTAACCCTGGCGAAAGAAAGAGACAAACAACCAGTGCGCGCCCGCGCGCAAGGGGTACGGCTGTCCGTGCTCCTTCGGCTGTGTGGAAGAAGAGAGAGTGAGAGAGAGAGAGAGAGAGAGAGAGAAGGAGAGAGAGCGAGAGAGAGACAGAGAGCTAGCGCGCGGTGTAGGAGGGAAACCTCCTGCACCACAACCCTGGAGAAGAGAGAGAGAGAGAGAGAGAGAGAGAGAGAGAGCGAGCAAGGGGGGGCTAGTCTCCTCTTGCCCCTAGCCCTGGCGAAAGAGAGAGAGAGAGAGAGAGAGCTTTGTTATACGATTGTTTTGCGTGACTCTTCAGCTCCGTCTGCATGTTTCGTGGAGAACGTACGACCGACATAGCTTCGTTATCGCATACTTTACGGCTTCAGCCTTTTGTCGGTCTATGTTCGTTCGTCACTCCCCGTGGCCCAACAAGACGTTGGGTGGGCCAGGTGCCCGGGGACGCTGACCCGTCCCCATGCCCGGGAGAGAGAGAGAGAGAGAGAGAGAGAGAGAGAGCGAGAGCGCCCCTCATGATCGGGAGAGAGAGAGAGAGAGAGACCTGACAAGCACCTTGTACCCCGGAGAACAGAACAGAACAGAGAGAGAGCGAGAGAGAGAGAAAGTTCATCTCCCGTCAAGGAGTTGGGCACCCGCGTTGTCTCCACCCCGAGGGGCTAAGACGCAAAATTGGCAGGGGCTCCGAAACCGTCATGGCCCCATGCCAGGCAGAGCAAGCACAGCAGAGGCAACGGCAAGATGAGGGACGAAACGGACATGAGCCCATAACCCGAGCAAGTGCATATCAGGTGCGTGGAGTCAATGTTCTGCAGTGCTGTTGTGCTCGGCTCGCGAATTGTGTTTCTTCCACTTTGGACTTCTGTAGAGGTATCAAATACCTGCATCACAAGCTGAAAGGAATAACAAGGCTGCGCAAACAATTGTACAGACCCGGTGAACTTGCGCTCTGGTACGAACCTTCAAATAACCACGGTCCGAACCTACAAGCAGGCGAAGGAGCGAGGCCAGTGCCGAATCGAAGAGGGCACGCACAGGGGCGACCCACAGGCGATCAGCGGACTGATAGACAGGTATATCTGCTGCATCAACAAAAGGACCCTAAGACGCAGACCTGGTAACATGAAATATGCCAAGGACGAAAATGCAAGCAAGCATGGGTCCAGGCAGCAACTGCGTGGTATAGGGTACTGTCGCCCCAGCAGGGGGCTGGGCAGGGTGGGGGTGCTTATCGGGATCAAGTCCCTCGGTCCACAACCCTGAAACAAACCCCCCCAGCCCAATGGACTGCTAGGCCCGGGGGGCCGTATGCTTCGATGTCATTCAGGCTACAGAGAGGAAGATCCTGTCTATCGTTTCGTTTTGGAAAGCAGCCACCCCCAAACAGATTGACACGAGCAAGCGCCGGTCGCTTTCAGAAGCCACAAAGATACTTTCCGTGCCTGCAGATGAGGACCAGCTATTTCAAGTCTTGAGAGACAGCTGCGCTCGCGTCGAACGGGTGAAAGCCTTTGACTGCGGGCTCGATGACGCTGCATCGAAGCACTGGCAGCATTTCAGCCTTGTGACGCTCTCCAAGTTCTGGCCGCTGTTCAAGTAAGGAGAGCGATAGCAGGCTGGATTGAAGCTATGCCGCCTGACAACCTGCCCAGTGAGCTCCATTTGTCGCACAACCGTATTACCCCGGGTGGCTTCCATGGCTTGGTGCAGGCCATCGCCATTCGTCATCCTGGGAGTAATGATGCCGTAGAGTCTTTTGAGATGACCGTTGCAATGCAAAGTTGGAGAGGCAGGTAGGTCCGCATCCAAGGAAACTAAATGGGCACGGCTGACGCAGAAGAAGCCACCGGTCTGGCTGCGCGTGGAAGGGAATGCGATAGATGATGCCACGATCTGTGTGCTCGGACTGAGCTGTCAAACGAACGGGGGTGACGGCACACCGGCTGCTTTCTGATTGCATCCGGTTGCCCTCCACTGAGGCCCTCGTCACGGGTGGGCGTGCTCTCCTGGCGCAGAGCCTGAAAGCTCCAGAGCGGCGGAGCGGGATGGTGAGAAACTTGGTCGGTGCGGTGTCGCAGATGTCACTAGCCCGCTGGTCACTTGAAGTTGGATTTCGCCTCGTTGCAGGTGCCGCTGTCCTTTCCATCTTTTCACGGAAAGTCTCTGCAGTTCGCAGCCCGGTCTGCCTGACATCCTTCAGTTTTGTTTCCATCTCTGCAAGCCAAGGCTTCACGATGCACCCTTCCAACTGAAGCCCTTCCAGCGCCAAAGCGACTTTCATTCATTTTCCGGTCCACAGCATTCGCCACAATTTCCTCCTGATCCCCCCTCGAGCTGGGACGTGGGCAGCACAGTACCCACTCACACCTCAGCAGTGCCCCCACCCCCGCCGCCACCGCCCAACTTGCCAGCCTTCCACAACCGTTTGCCGATGCAACTTGAGCAACCGAGCTGGTCAGGTTGCGGGCAAAGCTGGAATCAGGTGCCCATGATGAATGGCCCAGTTCGCAACATGCACACATTTGCGGCAAACCAGGCGCAATTCATGCCAGGGCCAGGTGTGCAGGGCCACATGCCCAACAGTCAGGTCTTGTTGCCATCGAACCAGATGCTGAACAACATGCCCCACAACCCGATGGCACTGATGCAGCAGCAACAGCAGCAACAACAGCAGCAGCAGCAGCAGCAGCAGCAGCAGCAGCACATGTCCAACCCCTCACACAGCTTTGCCGAACACCAATCGTTTCGGAATTCAGGAAGTTTGCCAGTTCTGCAAACTCAGGCTGGTGTCCCTGTACAGAGCCAGGTGCAAGGACAGATGCAGATGCAGATGATGCACTCCATACCGCACAATGTTGGTTGGCAGGCGCCCGGTCTACTTCCAGCTGCAGGTTGTGCATCTAATGTGCCCGGGCACATGCTCCCCTGCCATGACAAGTTCTTGGAGGCACCGACAGAGGTGCAGCCGCAACCTGCGAGACCTTCGTTCTCCCAGGAAGGCATGTCCAGGGAACGATCCCGGAGCCGGACCCGCCAGAATGGAGGCGAGAGCAAGCCGCCAACGTCAGCACAGACAGGCGGGGAGCATGTTTAAAAGTGAGAGCGGGCGTTGATGATTAACAGCATGGGTACATTTGTAACAGTTCTCGTGCTGCACACTGCGACAGCCCCTCTGAGAAGTGAGGTGAACCTGTGTAAACGTAGCCGATTCGCACTTTAGCACCTTTAGTACGTCTGGTGGTATATTGTCTATTTCATTGGAAAGCAGTGGTATCGGGTAGAAAATCTTCGGAACAAGATTGGATCGTGCACGTGTCTCGTTGCAATCCGTGACCGGGGATGAGAGGGAGCGCCAAATCACCGCCAAAGTCTGCGTTGCGAGGCCAGAGCTTCACCACCTTTTCGGTTCTTTTCATGGCCCAGGAGCATGACGGCCCGAAATCCAGCAGGATTTGAGCTGCTCTTGTGCCGGAGCCATGGTGGCGAAGTGGGGAGACGCACGAGTGCCGCTAATACTTGAGACGGCTGCATTGGCTTTGCCTTCATAGTGGTTCGGCTGGAGGCAGGAAGCCGTCAGATGCCGCGGGTCTGGTCTTGAAAGGAGGTTTACCGAGTGTTCCGGTTGCTCTGTGCGTAGAGCGTAGGAACGATCCAGCCAGACAGCACAGCAGCACGGTAGCACGGGGGCAGGAGCAGCAACGTTGGTCGTGCAAGTGCTTATCATAGGGGAGGAGCAGGATACTTTTGCCGAGGGAGCAGTCGTTAGTAATAAGATTGTAGGAGCAGTCGCAGGGCCCGGCATAGCAGAATAGGCATCGCACGACGTCGGAATAGGAGTGGGAGCGGTGGCAGGGATGGAAGTCGTAGCATGAGTAGGACTATGTCGTCGCCGAGTAGTAGGTAGTATATAGGTAGATTGCACAAGTCCTGATGCGAAAAGAAAAGGTAGTAGGTAGTAGGCAGTAGGTAGTAGGTCGTAGGGGGTGTAGTAGGTAGCAGGTTGCAGTAAAGTACCAGTAATAGTTATATTAATAGTGGGAGTCGGCGCAGTGGTAGCAGTGGCAGCCGTAGTAGCAGCGGTAGCAGTCGTAGAGGTAGTAGCCGTAGCAGCAATAGTAGTAGCAGCAGCAGCAGGAGGAGGAGGAGGAGGAGCAGAGCAGTAGCAGCAATAAGAGTGGCAGTACCAGTAGTGAGTAGTAGTAGGACAGTGGTTGCATGGCTTTTTGCTTCAAGCGATGAGTAAATTAATGGTACAAGTAATTATCTACCGCCAGGAATCAGTTTCAGCTTTGGAAGCAATAGCCTTATTAGAAACCAACCTGCGTAATAAAAAACGCAGCTTATCTTAGTGTAAATATTAGTAGGGGACTTGCTTGCATATTTCATCGCGGCTTTTTGGGGTTTTGTGTGAATGGAAAGCTCTGAAGACAGTGGAATCTGAGTCAATAAGCGTTTTGCACTATATGTTTTGTCTCTGCTGGTTCTGCTCGCAAGAAGGTGCTCCAAAATATCAGGGTTATTCTGCTCCAAACAGATCCATATTTCTTTTTGTAATTCTGCTTCAGGAAATTGGCTGTATGTAACGGAAAGCAACCAATATCAAGGTTCGAATATCTGAGAACCGTAAGGCTAGATTCACATGGTGTCAAACGGTTCATAAGAATCCTTGAAGGTTCACCTGCAACAAGAAGGCAAATTTGAACATCAAGCTCTACATGCCCACTATGGTTGATTGTTTTTTAAAGAATTCATTCTCGAACATTTCTGTTTGAGCAGGATTTAGAAGCAACTAGTTGTCTTGAGGATTCGGATTTCATCAAACAGCAAGTAGTTGCCGATATTCTGGAAATGCAAGAGCCACCACATCCATCAATAGCACTGAAAGAACGCGGAGCTGCAATTATTTGTGATCCCTCAACGCACTTCTTCATTTGAGGTTTCAAGTTGTCCACCCACAGTTTGCAACTATTAAAACTATTCCGTGGTGCTAGAAATCATTAATATTGTGCAGGGTTTCTTCATCCACGACTTATTCAAGCTGGGATGCAGCACTGACGAGTGAGCGGTGACAACAATTCTATATACGACAGCGACAGAGATGTACCCTTCTGACGCAGGTGCATGGGGAAGCGGGCTTGCTCGACAGCAGCATTGGAAGCAGGAATTGAAAGCCTTTCCCTCCAGGACATGAGATTGCGGCTGTGTGCAGGAGCTGTCTCGATGCATGTGCTCCAGTCTTTGAGGATCCAACAGCCACAGAGCTTGTTTCTCAAAGTGAAGAGCCAGCTGAAGTTGAAGGTATTCTGGAGGAGACTGGAGTCAGCAGGCTCCCTTGGCCGCTCAACACGATTGGAGCATGTAAGCATCTGTTGAGACCATATTGCCACTGCCACTTCTGTTCTTTTGCGTGCAGTGAAAGAATGAGGTACGAAGAGTTGATCAAGCAGGCGCCGAAGTGCGAAGCTGACTGCCTCGACTGGAAGGCCCCGCACATGGCACAAGGTTTGCTTGCTTCTGACGAAGTTTGCTCGAACTGTGCTGAGGCACCCACACAAGCCGTTCGGGCGTAGTGCAACCAATGTCGGTGCCCTGCGAGGCCTGGGCAAATTGTGGCGCTGCTCTTTGGCACCTGGGCGAGAAGCGGCTCAGAGCAGCAGCTTAAAGGCTGTCCTCTGCTGTCCTATGCGTGCCATGCAAGTGTGATCGGCCAAGGAAGGCTAGTTGGGACGCTCGGCAAATCTCGCCATGTTCAGCACGTTGGAGTCGCCCGAGGGTTCTGTTCTGTAGGAGAGAGTGGGAGTCGCCCGAGGACTGTTACAAGCATGCTGCTCATGCTCTTCAAGGTTTTCGTACTGAGTTGACGACGGACCAGCTTTTGGCAGATCCAGTTGCTGCCGAGCTGCAAAGCGCACCTTGGTAGGGGACATAGGGGACGACATCTGACGAACTCTTGCAGGTTGGCAAATTCTTGAGTGCATTGGACCGCGACTTTCGAGCAGGGCGTTGGGAATCTGACGAGGCCTCGTTCGATGCCGCCGAAGCCACATGCTGTTAAAACTACTGTGCTGACTACTTGGGAGTGGTTGCAGTTGCAGCCTACAGTCCCAGACCATGCTGCGAACTACGTATCATATCTCAACAGTGGCAACCAGGCAGCAGACCTGGCGCTCTTTGCTGTCCTCGCACTGCGCGGTCGCGCAGCCGAAGTCTGCACGGAGATCTGGCATGAACGCGGCCTGCTGCGAAAGATTGGATGTCCTGCGTGTGCTGTTCTGCTTTCTGACTGCTTCTTGAGGCCTTCCGAACCACTACTTTGCCGCGATGCAGGTTCTGACACTGGCTGCGTGCTTCCGCAACAGATGCAAGAGTGATGCATGCCAGGCTTTATGTAGAAGGCTCAGCACGCCCAGCCGGCCTCTTCGGCAAGTGTGCCCGGATGACTCACGCACCCCTGCTAGAGTGGGTAGAACGTGCGCCCTACATCTCCGTGGCCGATGTGACAAGGTATGGATTTGATGAATGGCAACACACTGGCTTTGCTTGTGGCACCCGACGGACTCTTTGCAGGGACCGGCTCCAAGCGAGCAAGGCTGCACGAGCGCGTTGCGGCCTCCCAGCTTTCTGTGGAGTGTTTTTTACAAGTTTTATACTCTGCAGGAGTAACTCCTAAGGCCCTAAGGCTGCCCTCAACAAAGCCTCGACTTGTCTGTCGGCATCCCCATGCCAAGACAACGTGTAGTCGCTGCAATGCTGCCTTAGGACTCATGCGTGCAGTTGGATGTGGCAGAAGCTGATGGTTTCCTGAAGCTGACGCTGTGCGAAAGAAGTGATCTTGCTGGGAGCGGTGATCCTTGAGGTGAATCCGGTCAGGGGCCTGGAAGCCTTGGCATCGCACCGCTTCGTCCTCGGCATGACAACGACGCGAGGCTAATCGAAAAGATTTCAGAGGATGCGCGCAAGCTGTTTGTTGACGCAAGTATGACTTCCAGCAGCTGTGATGGTACTTATTGTCAGCAGACAAGGGGCATTAAGTTGCCGTGCAGCCGACAGTATCACTCGTGCAAATCGACAGAGGCAGAGAAAACCAGCAGCACAACGTGCAGCCAAGCAGTAAGCACATCCCATGCGCAGCGACATATACGAAGTTGAATTACGCACGACGTAGGGCAGCAGAAGTTTGTTGCTCCGGCGATGTCTTGGCACAGCTTTGCGCTCAGGCGCATTCCAGCTGTCAGGCCTGCCTGCACCCTTCATCCGACATAGCGTCTTCAATTCTCAATTCCCGAAGCTAGTCGTTCGCGAGGGGGGTTTGTCGCTTGAGAGGTTCAGAGCTTCAGCGAACCGAGTTCGTGCCTGTGCAGTGTCGAGTCTGCAAGTTGTTCATCAAATTCGATTTGCTTCTGCAAGGTCCGTCGAGTCAAGAGCTGTGAACTTCGAGTTAGTTTGAGGTAACATGTCGAGTTTTTGCAACCTGTTGAGCTCCATACTTAGGTGCAGGAGAATCTCCAAAAAAGGTGGCGGACCAGCGCGGTCCAGCCCGAGCGAAGAGATGTGCAGGCGTGCAGTTCCGCCAGTGCTCCATGACCCCTGCACTGGCCTGCAGCAAGCAGCACCAGGCTTCCGAACTCGACACGGGGGCAGGCGACTGTGAGCAGCTGCTCGGGCGGTGGCACTATGGTGGGTCGACGCTTCTTCAAATAAGAGTCAGTGCTGGGCGGCAAAGCAGTGTTCACGCAGAGCACCGGTTGCAGCTTGATTTAAGGATGACTTACGTGATATCGCCGCTGGGGGACAGAGCTTGCCGATTTGACGAGTGGGCTTGGGCCTTCTTGCTTGTGCTTTGTTTGGTTCAGATGTCTTTAGCGATATCGTTTTATGCACAGATAAGCTGAGGACAGGCTCCTCGGATGCAGCTGTGCAGTCTGTTGTCAGCATCTCGAGGACTTCGTGGTTGGCCAAATTGTGCTCTGTCTTGCAACCTCCGGTCCGAGGAATAGAGGTATCCATCACCACGGCCACTTGAAGTTATCGGACGGTTGGTTTCAGGGCGAACTCTTGAACCAGGACTGTGACTATGATGTGTGTTCATCTGCGTTCGTTGGCTGACCACCAGTGCACCTGGTCGCACGGGTCTCTGAAGGAACAACGCTTTGTGGGCTGCTTGCGCACCATGGCAGCACCCATCCTCTGCTCGCTGCCTCTCCGCGTTCCCGCAGACCGGCCAATCACTGTGCCAGGGCTGAGATACGACGCTCAGAGACAGGTCTTGATCTCCCAGTGCCGCTTGGCCAACGCACTGGGGGATGTGCTCTTGGAACCACTGCCATGCATCTGCTCTTCGTCTGCTCAGTTCAGGTAGACCTGAGCACGGCGATTGGGGTCCTGAGACCATAGCTACATCAGACTCTTCGGAGCTCAGCCAGAATCACGGTTCCATGGTTGCAGAACGCCAAGTCTGGAAGCAGCTGACGAAGCCAGCTTCCCCTGTGAGCGTGAGTAAAGTCGGAGGCTTGTGTGTCCTGCCAGTCCTGCCCTCCCGCCCAGGCGGCCTAACGCGATATGCTGTAATGGCTACATTGCTTTGCACCAGTGGCCTGGCTTCAACTTTGCTACACTTGCGCTGTGGAGCCTCCACGACCCAGGCTTGGTTCTTTTGCAAGATCTGACGTGGCGAAACTCAATTCGTCCGCTGTTCGTGGCCGTCGGCCTGGAAGACATTGCTGACGACATTACACGCTGGACCAAGGCCACCCCATGCCAGACAGCATGCGCACTATGTTTTAGCTTCAGCCACTTCAGGACTGCTGGTCAACTGTGCTGCCCGGCTAGATTTGGAAAACCGCTGCAACAATTTCCATTCAGCATGGCGAAAGTGACAGGCGGAAGCTTTCAAGCGGACTCAGCTAGGGCGCCAGCAATGCCACAGAAGTCGGCCAAGTGGCTACCCGCAAAGATCAACAAAATGAGTGAAGTTTGTTGCATCTGTGTCATGCTGCGCGTTACCTGTATCTCCCATTTAGCGAAAGGAATGCCGCAGGAGCTTCCCTAACTCTTCCGCAGTGGCAACCTTGTTACCCCGCGCAGGTTGGTATCATAGCTGATGTCCGGATGGCTGTTCTCAAGGTGCGATGCAATGCATATGACGAAAGCACATGCAGAAGATGCCTGGCCTAGCCGGTCTAGCCCTAGGCTTGCCCTAACCTTTGTTGTTTTGCTTACGGGCAGTGCAAGCTCTTTCTGTTGTCGACATGTTGGCTCGAGGCCCTTTGCAGGGGTGAAGTGCTCGTTTGGGCATTTGTGTGTTAATTGTCTGGTGGCCAGCACAGTCCGGCCATCATGGATCAGCAGGGCGCCATGAGCTCCCAGGATCAGCTACTTCACTGAACATGCATTCAAAACACTCGATTTCGTTGTCATTGTAGCAACATGCAGGAACACATGCTGATCAGTGTAGCCGTCGCTGCCGAGGCAAAACTTGGCAGCCATGATGCGCCTGGGTCAAAAACTGCCTGATTCCTCTGGCTTAAGTGTGCCCCGCGTGATGTTACGCAAGACGAGGTGGCAGATGTCGATGACATCTCCCATGCCGCCGGTTCCGGGAATGCCCAGTATGCCAATGCTGCTAGACGGCAACTCCAACTGAATGCGCCTAGCCTCTTCAGCCAATGTGCCTGGTGGACCAAGCTAGGTGGCCCAATCCACCACCTATGGTTTCTCCTTGGCTGATACTTGGTCGAGAAAAATCTCTTTGTTGATGCTGCACCGACGCGGAGGATGGTAATCCGTATTATCGGTGTTGTCTCTACCTGCGCCAGCTCCCGCTGAGGACCGTGAGGGTTGACGGCCTGAAGTTCGAGTATCAGCTTACCGAGGATGATGTTCGGAAGGCGGCCAGCGGGGCTTTGTGTGATGCGAGAGGAACATGCAAGGCCGTGCTTCGGATGCTCGTTTAGAGGCGAAGTTGCCTTCACGCTCATGCTTATGGTACAAATTTCACTGCAATTGATCGCATCTGAACAACTCACCGACGACCCGAAACAGTTCCATTAATGCATGAACTACTTCCTGGGCAAGGGGTCCTCAAGTCCCTGGACTGAAGCCTCTGTGTCCAGCTTGAAACAACAGTGGCCAATGTGCTCTGAGCTGATGCTAGAAGAAGCTGGAGCATGTCTGTGGAGCGAGGTCTTTTCGCGCTATGGCGAAGTCGTCACGGTGAAGATGGACAGAGAGGGAACTACGTCACAGGCCAGCTGCAGCTCGGCACAGACTTCCCGCGAGAGCGAAGTTTCCAGGTCCAGTTTGCGCAACCCCACCAAGCCATGGCCGCGCAGCACGACCTTGACAAGAAGCAGCTCCAAGGCCGAGAAAGCCCGGACTTGTCCTTCGAAGCTCTTGTAGAAAACCTTTCTGAGATTTTCTGAGTCTCATCTGGTTGCCAGGCATGTCTGGAGCGTTTCTCACGGTCGAGTTTGCGTATCCTCAAGGACCTGCCGTGTCGATGCACCATGGGCAAGGTTCAGCTCTCGAGTCTTTCGAGGATACACCGCAGTTCCTCCCTCTGCCGATCCCGGCTTACTGCAGCACATGGCTGCATCGTGCCTTGGCATTGTTACGCAAGGTCAGGATCAACGAGTCTCGCGCATCGGGAAGGATTTAGATCACATATCATCGCAAGCAATCGACAGATCGACACCTGTTTGTGTCATGTGCGGTGATGTGGGCTGGTGAAGGGGGGCGGAGGCAGCAGCGGCTCTTGGGCTCTTGTGCCCAGCCTTCCTTGAACAGGTCCGCAGGTCAGGCAATCCGTTTTGCGCTGCTTGCAGGAATCCGTTTATGAATCCAATGATGCCTGGCAGCGGACCAGGCCTCAGATGTGTATTTTAGGACGTGCTGAAAGAATCAAAGCGTCTTCCGAGGCTACCCGGTGGCTCCTGCTCCAACGCCTTCAAGCCCAACCCCCTCTCCTGGAGGCACATCTCCAGTGGGATTTGTTCAAACTAAATTATTGCTTATGCGAGCGTGCCTGTCAGAAATCATGGGGGCACGGCGTGATCGGTCGACAACTCTTCTAGATGCCAGGCCAGCCGAAGAAGTTTACATGCAAACTGGAGGTGGGAATCGCCTCTTGGAGAAAAATCCCAAGAGGCAATTCTGGTTGTAGCAATCTGAGAGCATCGCAGATGCACCTGCGCTCCTTAAGGAAAACGAGGGTGAGTTCCGTGTGGGCAGCCGGGTCATCCAGATCGCGCGTGCCATCTGGCAGGACAAATGCAAGTGAAGCCTGCACTAGGCTAGGCCTAGGCCTGCGCCTTCTGTCAGGACCCCAAATTTCAAGAGCATGGAGGCAAGACGCGACTCCGTGGAAAGGGCATCGGTGGTCCACATGAAGGGGACGAACCTTGGCACTGCTCTCCAGAGTCTGCCAATCGAAGCCTTCGGGCCCCAACTACATGCTGCTGCTGCTGCCAGCGTCAGGAACCACTGGCGCTGTGTATATCCTGCCGAGACCAAACCGCCTTTGACAAGGCCGGCCTATGCACGGGGTGGAGCACTGACGGGCAGTGCAAGTGTGGATTGGCCGACCCTGTTCAACTACAGCTTCTGCAATCCTGCCAATGTCCACGGCATGTCGCGTATCCCTTGAACTTCCGCTTCAGGCTGTTCAGTATGCCGAAACACAGCTGCAGAAGGTGCATTCGGACTACAAGGCCGCCACCTGTAACAAACCTGGACTCTGGCAGCCCGTGAATCACAATGCAATGCCTGATTGTCCTGCTAGGCGTTCTGTCAACAGCACGGCAAACCCGTTCCGGATTTGGAGGTCAAGATATCGAAGAAAGGCCAGGCATGCAGTTGGAAATCTTCGAACACTCCGACTCAGTGGGAAGCGCTACCAAGGCACATTTGGACCAGAGGTCACCAAAAGCGTCCAGCCGATGCCTGGTACTCGGGAGAGCGAGGGAGCGACCTCAGACCTCCCCTTTCTCCTGAGAAGCCTGGGACCTTCCCAGCTCTAGGAATCGCGGCGAACGTCCGGCTGGAGCCCCGACAGACGAGGAGATTGAGCGCCTGATAGAAGAGCGTTGGGGCCTTACAAGTTAGGCATCTGTCCAGTAGGCATCGCAGGAGTCCGAACATCGGAGTGGCCTGCCTTTCATTCAGGTAATGATGCTCGGAAGGCTGCCAATTTCAAGAAAGCTGATGAAGTCCGCGAGCACCTCAAATCACGAGGACTAAGCTTCGATTCGGTTTCCGGCTTCCTGTCGCTGGGCGCAGCAAGCACATGGTGGACTGCAATACCTGGCCTGCTGTTCAGGAGTCGTGCTCATGGACGAGAAAGGGGCGAAAGGAACCTTCAAAGGTTGGGCAGATGGAGTCGGGGAGGGGGACCAGAAAGGGCCCGAAAATGAGACCATGTGCATTCAGGCAGCGAAGTGACGAAGTGGCGATTTTGGCGCCCTTAAGCTGCTGGAGATTTGGGGTGGACAAAGATCGGAGATCCGCCTTTGTCTTTGATATTCGCTTACTTTTGGTGCTCAGGGCCAAGATACGTATAGCCCTAGACGGCAGCATGCAGTCTTGTCGTGTGTCTTTTTCAAGCTTCCGAAGTCTTCAAATGACCTGCAGAAGCAGTCTCTGGGACTTCCTCTAGGACACGAAGAACTCCCTTAGACAGTGGTGCGCTTTTCAGGTCGTCACGTGCTGCTTCTGCTTTACTGATTTCTCAACCGACGTTCTTTTATGTTCTTTTCAGCACTTGGGATTCAGGACCGGGAAACGTTGTTCTAAAAACACTTACAAGGCCGGCCTGTGTCCGTGCAAGCTCCGTGTCCGTCCCTGGAACGCACAGAGCGATGGCCAATGGTGCTGGTTGCAATGCGAGTCAGGACAGACTCTTTAACAGTGTTCAGTTTTGCCGAGTTTTTGCAGACCTCTCTGATAGCGAGCAACTGAGATGCTCCTCCAGTGGACAAGCAATGAGCCCACAATGTGTGATCACATAGTTTGCGCGAGCGCGAGAACGGAGCCACTGCGGCCATGGTTTTGGCGCAGCTTCTTTTTGAAGTCACGGCAGTTTGTCCACGTTCAGAAGTGCATGGTGCAAGTGAGTGCATGGTGCAAGTTGAATGAAGGGAACACAAGACACCTTGATGCGAGAGGTGCGTTGCAGCGCTTGTATGATCTGAATTGTACCGAGAAGATCACAAAGAAAAATGACTCAGTCTTGCCGTGTTTTGCAAGCGCTGGCGTGTACAGTGCATGTGCAAGATTGAGCGCGCATGGCCGTCGCTTTTGACGGCGTGTACAATTGGGGCATGAAGTGCAGCCCATGCGCTCTCAGCAGCATGGCATGTCAGTATGGAGGATGAGAAGTTTTGACTGCAAGGAGCACTGCAGTGCTCACGTCCAGGATTTCTTTCACCTTCATTTCAGACGGAGAGCATGGAGAAGGCAAGAAAGTCTCTTCCCACGAAGATGCCTGTCACATCAGTCTTTCCCAGCGCAGCCCCAAGTGATGGGCCACCGCTATCCGGCTCGACAAGCTCGGATTGCGGAGTGTACATGTTGAAGGTTGGCACCGGCCGTATGAGCTAAGCTCCACGCACATTGTAAACTCTAGATGCTTCATGCGGGATGGCGCGTATGCAAAGCAGAAAAGCCTGCGCTTCCACACTGGCAGCAATCAAGTCGTACATTTCTCCTGAACCTGTGCCGAATGAGTTTCCTGCAGGAAAAAGTGTTCGGCAGTCGTCTCCGTGGCCTACATCGTCGCCGCATGTGTTTGCACCTGAGTCTGAGGCATTCCGGAACCCTGCACACGCTGCAGCATGAACTGCCTGTGGAACCTTGTCGCCTCTCAGGTTGCACATGGCTTCGAAGTATTTTCCGAGCAGCAACTTCTTGTTCTCAACGACCCCACTCGGGTGGCACGCGCAGTTCTTGCTGCATTCTTGACGTTGTATGGTTTTGTTAGACGAGCTGCCGAGTGCTTGCTTGGCAGAGAGTTCGCATGGTTGAACGGCGATTGCGAGGAAGAAGATGATTTCTGATCTGTGAGTAATGGTCATAACGACTCTGGCAGTGATGAGGCTAAGAATTTTGCAGGTAATTGACTTCAACAACTCGGAGTATGGCTCCACCCACGTGGACGATTATTGGGCCTGGACGCTCGGAGAGCCTCAGAACCTAGACTTAGGGCATCAGGTGACTCAAGACTTTGACCAGCGACTCAGCGACGTCAAATCTCGGCTCAAGTGCCTCGCAGTTGCTGCAGTTCTGCAGTGCCGCAAGCCCAGGCGAAAATCGACCTCAACTACAGCCCTTTGGAAGGCCGCAGAATCGGCATGGTCCACCACACACGTAAGTTGCAGCTAGCAAGTCCCAAATTCCACCCAAGATCTAACTCCTTGAAACGTCTGTGCTTCTGGGGAACCTCCTACGGTGGTTAACCGCACTCTGACAAAGGCCCTGCAATTTTCTCTTGTGTCACTTGTCTGACGATGAGCAGGTCGCACTAACATAAACAGAAACGAAACTTGTCTCGAAAAATGGTGTGAGAAGTCCTGGTGTCTCAGACTAGGCCGTTGCGTTCCCTTTCTCTCTCGCTCTCTCTATCTATCTCTCTCTCTGCCTGTCTTCTGCACCCTGCCTCTTGCGCGCTCTGCTGCACTTCGATGCTTTTCGTGCAGGCTGGAACCTTTTCCGGCACGTGCGCATCGGATGCTTCCTGGTGCAGTGGGCCGGCGCCTCAGCATGCGGGTGGTTCACTGCAGTCAGCCGGAAGGAGATACATCACGAGTGCCTTTGTACTGCTTATGTAGACGTCTTGAAATAGGTTTCTGCATATATGTGGCCCGATGGAGTGAGGGAGTAACCGGGCATGTTCATGGTACCCGTGGGGCAAACGTGGCTCTTTCCTGTTTCTCATGCATTACAGTCGGCTTGCGTGCGCTCCGCATCTGAAATCGGTTTCCTTTCTTTTGTCTTTGTTCGTTTCTTACTTGACTTGCGTAGTCAGGGTGTGATTTCATCCCAGGAAGGACACACCTACCCACAAGCTGGTGTTGCGTTCTGCCATGACCTCTACTCTACCTTACTGCAAAGGTATCTCCATATGCGTGGCCTTGTCAGCTGACTTGACTGTGGCTTGAGAGCTTCATGGTGTTCCCTAGATTCACGGCCCTGCTTGGTGCATAGCATCGCCGTATTTGTCTGGTCCAGGAAAGTGCACTAGCATATGCCGAGCGTGGGCCCGCCCAAGTTTCAATGCGCGATTGGCTGTTGGACCTTCGTGCAGCTAAGTAGCGATCCTGTGCGATGTTCCTCTAGACTGCGCCAGGTGTCGGCGAGACGTTGACCGCGACGGAGTGTGTGCAGTTCTGCAACAGGACCCAGGCCGGCCACTGTGCTGGCATGGTCGACATGGACCAACTGACTGACTGTGATAACTGCGAGTGGTTAAGTCAAAATCGTTGGCTTGGCATCATGCCACGGATTTCTGCTGAGGCATATCTTCGGCTGCCCCTATGCCGATGTGGTTTAGATGAGACCGCGCTGCCAATGATCGAGGCCAGATGACACTTGAGTTTCTGAGCTCTTGGGCGGAAGCTAGAGAGCTGCACCCAGTATGCAGTGAATGCAATAATGCCGGAGCAGGTGCAGGGCGAGTGCACTCCAACATCTTGGGAGGCAGCCAAAGTTCCGCTTGCAAATCTGTTTCGTAATGGATGCAGATGATGGCAGCACTGAAGTTTCCCAAGGTGTACAGGGAATTTGACTACCGGTCGTCTATGTCGCAGCGCGCTCAGTGGCTCACCTGTTGTGTCGATTGGCGCGGCCCCGCGGCCCATTGACTTCTTCATGGCGCATTCCTGTCGCAGTGGTCTTGCATGACGTGTAATGATTCAGCTGAGGCCATCCACTTACGATGTCACCCGCCGGCTTCTGTACTCCATTGTCACAGCTTCAACCTCAGTCACGAGGATGCAGAGAGTCTGCAAGCCTGATGCCTAAACAGAAGATTCCAACGCCTCTCTGTGCTCCGCGCATGTGCTTTTGGGAAGGCTGTCAGAATGGGGGGGAACGCTGCGGCCCTGCGTTGCTTCTGCTCTTGTCCGTTCACCGATTGACGGTGGCCATGCCGGAGCTTCATCCTTCTGCACAAACTGTGCAGCTGGGGACAGTGAGGGGGTCGGGATCCACCTGAAGATCAGGTGAGACAGTGTCACTCCGAGCTTAGAATGCTTTGGGTGAACGACAAGGCACAAGTAGTTGGTACATGACACTCTGCGGCCACGTGCGGGGTTGAGTTGCAAGATGTGTTAGGCCCAGTTGCCCATGACCTGAGAGCTGGGCAACCTGATGGGTTGGGAAAGGGGTTGCGTGGCGAAGGCAGCACTGCCGGCACCCTCGGTCTTCATGCATGGTTCAGGTTCAAATTGTCGATCTCTGTTCCTTCCAAGACGAAGATGTGCCCCACCGCCCCTACGCCTCCCCCTCCGACGGTGTGATTTACAACGTCGCACGTGGGCACGCATCATTCCCGAAGGGGCGCAGAAGAAAGTCAGAGCTGAAAGAAAATCTCAGACGATGGCTGGGTGCAGCAAGCGGCTATGAACGCTGAAGATGACTTTGCTGCAGATACGGCTGCCATCGCCGGCCGATCCTCCGCTTCGGCGCTTGCCTCATGCTATACATCGCTTGACAACGTAAGCAACAAGCCGCCTGGGAGGTGATTTTCCTGCCTGACCACCCAGGAACTACATTCATGCCGTGAACCCTCTGGAGGTGCTTGCTGCTGCATGTATGCCAGCCAGGGGCTAGCTTGGAACACCAGTGTGCCAGAGTTTCTGCTGCTGAAACGAGATTTAAGCCTGGTTTGGCCTTGTCAGTCCCGCCCGCAATTCGATTATGACACCCGCCTGGAGTCTGCGGCTCAGCTGGGTGTTGCTGGGGGGAAAGGTGGCGTTGTATGCTGGACGCATCTCGCTTGTTTACCGCCGTGTCTGGCTAAGTCGCATGGTCTTCAATGCAGTTTGGGACTTTGGGAAGAGTCGCATGGCCCCAGCCTTATCATGACGATCCCTGCAGCACTGAGCAGTGGAAACTTTTTCGAAGCATGCATACCCCGATCGGGCAGGTGGCATTGTCTTTGTCCGATTGGGGCGGAACTTTGGACCTCACAGTGGCATTTTGGCAGCAAGAGGGGGACGTTCAGATGTGTCACCAAGCAGAAAATCCTTGAAGCCAAGGTTACCTTCAACTCCAGTGTTGGCCCAGGAGTGTTTTTGAGGTCGAAAGATTTCCCGAGCACTGCAGACGAAGATTCCGATTGAGCTCAGGCATATCCGGACTTGAAGTGCGACAGAGCCATTTTCCGATTGAGGCATGTCAAGTGATCGGGAAGTGTCCTGTGCGTGCTTCGAGCCTGTGGCAGGACCAAATAGTGGCGAACGGTGAGCTGGTTCGTGACGGGCTGGTGCGGCAGACCGGCCATCTGTATTACAGCATCTCAGCGCAGAAATTGCTGGCAGGCATCGGTTGAGGGACTGGGCACAGTTGACATCTTGTTTGGCACGTACTACACGGTGGGCGGCTGTTCTCTGATCTCCGCACTTCCAGCCTTCAGGCTAGACTTGTGTGCCAGTCAGGTGGTTCCAGCAGCTTGGAGTTCCTCCACACAGGCCGTTTTCTTGATGCACTTTAGTCTTCTGGTCCGAGCTTGGGTACCGAGGTCGTGCATGTTGTCGTTGCCATTGACATAGACATGAAGCGTGTCTTGACGAGTCTCTGCCTCAGATTCGCAGCGGGTTCTGAGACTGTTTTGAGCGCACATTGCCAGCATGCAGCTCAATTGTCATGCCCTGAAGGTGAGGTGATGCCAGTGACGTTGATGAATCTTCAGATGAATTCCCTTACGCACCAGTTGTACGGTGCAGGCTGGGCGTTTACATGCGGCCATCAATGTTTTTTCGTGGAATTCGTTCAGGGTTCGAGCTCAGTGCAAGGTGCGGACTTGAATGACCAGTATGCCTACTATCATCTGTGCGAGAGTCTCAGGGACAGCGATGGGAGGGTGGTGAAGTGTGTGGATGGCTCGGTCAAGCTCACCAGGTACAGCCGCCAACTTGACGCAGACCGTTGGCGGAGTTACGACTGTTCAAGTCTTCGTTAGTCGGCATCTCATGTGGTCTGCGTCAATGCCCGAGCAGTTCTTTGAACGAGTGCTCAGTGCCTGAGTGGTCTCCGTAGCAGGTTGCACGTTGGCAGAGCTGGGAGGCTTGCCTTCAGAGGTGCGTTAGTCGGTGTCCGGTGTCCACCAAGCCGCCGCCGGCTTGTCCGCGTGCTGAGGTCAATTACATGTACCTGCAGTCGGCTGCTATTGATCACCAGTTCAACTATGCTGCCAGCCTCAGTGATGCGTCGAAGCCGGCACCATGTTTTACCACCTGTGACTGAGTGCTTCAATTCTTTGAGGCTTGGTTCACTTTCAAGGAGGAGCCCACAGGTACTCCGAGGATCTTGGAGTACCAGCATGACAGCCAGGAGCTCTAGTGACTCTAGTTTCAGCATAGTAGTTTTGGTTCAGTGCTGATGCAAACGGCTTAGGCAAAGACTACGTGCTTTGGCCACAGGACTCAAGTCTTTGCAAACCCGTTTCGATAGCATGTTGTGGTCACGAATGTCGTTGAGAATTGTGGCGATGGACCAGTGTTTGTGTGCGAGGAAACGCTGCCCGACAATGCTGTCTTTTCCTCGCTGATCCAGACTGCTCCCAGGACTCGCTGCTTCGAGGGTGCACCGTGAAGCATTTTCTTCAGTATGTGCAACTATCTGTGCAAGAGTATGTCGCAAGGATCATTTTCGCACTGTACCCTCCAGCTCTGCAGTATGCCAGGTATGGCTTGCAAAGTGATGAGACACCAGTGTCGACGCATGGAGCCCGACCTTGACCTGCAAGGTTCAATACCGCTGGCACAAAGCTCTTCTTGTCTTTCGATGCTGCTACGTTGCGTGGGTGCCTGAGGCTTTGCGGTAGCTGGTCAAGCAAAATGGACAACACATCAGGTGGTGCTGTCCCCATCGACACCAATGGAGACGACATACCCGATTTCTACAACGAGGCTGACAAGGCCCCACTGGCTTTGCCGCTCGCAGACCTCCCATAAACGGGGCATATGGGCGAAGTTGTCAGAATGCTCGCATGGGTCCGCTTGCTTGCTTGCTTGTGCTGGACACTTCTCGATAGGTTCGTCTGTGAGGGCTGAACTGTTTCTTGGCTGAAGGCTACGCGCGGACCCTGCGAGGATTTCATCGACCGGTTTACCATGATACTGATCCCAGGGAGCATGCGCTGTCCTCAAATTCAAATGAAAGGATCCCACTTTTGACCGGCGCAATTGCAGTGATGCGTCGGAGGTGCCAATGGACGACAGATGCGGACTTCTATGTTGAGATTCAACCTGCGTGCATGACTTGGGGACGGGGCTGGGTTATCTAGAGGCCGTGGCTTCAGCGGGCCCGAGGTCAACGATTGCTCCAGGAGATCTTGCACGGATCAAGCCAGGGACCGCACAAGCCCCAGCCAGCTCAGGGGAGCAGAATAGCAGCGCACGAACACGAACTGCATGCCATGTGTCCCATGCGTACCAGGTTTACAGAGGGCAGGAAGCCCGTGCTGGAGCTCGAAGCTTAGTATATAATGCAGAAACTCGGTTCCCAGATCATTCGGAATTTACAAGCTTCGAATCGCGAAGGTATACCAGTTCTCACAGCCATCATCAGACTTCGCAGTTGTTCCACCCCCAGCGAGCTGCTTCAGTCAAGTGCTTGCGGACTTCGTCGACAAGTCTTACGTATATCAGGTGGAAGCTCCCTTGGACATCCCAACTCCGAGGGCTGCCGCCTTTGATTCCAACTTCCACACTTCGCCATGACGATGCGCTTGCAGCATCTTGCATCTGCAGGCAGAAGTTGGTGGCCTAGCATACATCGACGTGTGCGAAGCTTAGAGCGCAACACTGCGCGACAGGCGCCGGTCTACGTATCCGCACCTCTGCTGTGATCAGGTGCACAGAGCTTGTGCTCGATGGCACGCAATCGCGTGATCACGGCTCGCCCAGTCAGTGCCGGGACTGGGAGCTTCTGGAAATGCACCATTTCGCCGTTGAGGCTTTCGTGGTGCCTTCACGTGGGCCCTGAGCTCCACAACTCCAGAGAAGTCGCATGCCGAGCTTCGAATGGCAATATGCAGCTGTTTAAGCTTCCGGGAATACCGTATTGCCTTTTCGACAAGTCTTCGTGAGTCTTCTTGGGCTCATGTGACGTTTCCGAAAAATCCATGCTTTGACTCTCGATTGAGCAGTGGTTGTGGATAACTGAGAGGGTGGAGGGTTCTCTGAACTTGAAGCTTCAAATTTCGATCAGAAAGACTCGGCCACTTTTAACAACTCCATAGGCGGCGCGCATTGCCTTTCGGGTACCACAGCCTCGACGATGTGAGAAGTCAAAAGCTGGGAAAGCTAAAGCCAACTCGATCCTATAATTGTTATATACACATACATACATACATA